TTTAGTTTGTAGACTCAGATCCAGATGCTAACTGCTGGTCCCCTTTCTTTAAGGGCCCGACTTGCGAGTCGGCGATAACTACGTCATCACCGAGAACACAGTAATTCCGGAAACGCTGACCCGGGTAAACCCGTTCTGCCGCCAACCACACCAAAAGATGATGCGAAAAGGCGAACAAAGGCCAAGAAGCATAATAACCCAATGGCTGCCCCGCCACAAAACAAACTGTTGAGTTCTTCCTCTTTACAAAGGGGACCTCAAAGATGTTTGTGGCGAGACATGAATTAACGACAGCAGAGGCAAATGACCTATCGAAGAGACCCTGCATTATCTCAAACACTCTTCGAATAGGAATCCGTTTTCTGAAAGATCCTGGCTTTCGTACTTTGGTGGGTCTCCGAGATCCTTTCGATAACCTATGTTGTGTTGAAGGGATATCTATCTAATCCGATCGATTGCGTAAAGCCCGCGATAGCAACGGAACGGGGGAAAGTATACAGAAAAGAACTATGCCGTCAGGTCTGGTGAGAGGGAGGTACCTCCTCGAACTTACCCGGTACTTATCCCTTTAATACCTTGCCAGAAGCTCTTCATTCAGACATGGCAAAACGTCTACGATAGAAGCGGGTCATTAACCCTATACATCAATATGTCAGCTGGAATTTCAATTGGAGAAAGGTAGAAAAGATTTGGGAGAGGAATCTAATGGTCTAAGTAAATGATAGAGAAATCCACCAGGGCAAAAAAACTATAGATGCAAGATCCAAAAGAGGAGTGAAGGCTTTCTTTTTTACCATTTATCACCTGTGAATTTTGAATTAACCCAATATTCTTTTGACCTGATCCTCAAAAGCGGAAGTTGACGAGTAAGAGTTACTTCGTTCCTCACTCCAGGAAGTGAGCTACTAGAATATGAACTCGTAGAAGAAAGCGGAAGGCTTAAGAGTTTCGAAGTCATTTAGTCCTCATACTAGAAGAGAACTGAACTCGCTAGTCCCGATTCCTTGCGCTTTTATCCAATAACGGAACTACGAGTCCGAGGAGGCCTTGGGTT